AGACACACATACGTACATACACGGGCAATCAAAAGTGATTGCATGGTTCTTTTTTGTATAATATTTACAATGTTTTTCAAGTAAAAATTTTTTTGTTATTTTTTTTTAAAAAATCGAAACCACATAAGTTAAACTTTAAAAATTTATACAGAACGTAGAAAAATTCAACAAACTTTCATCTAAATTTTCTACTTTTTAATCAAAATTTTTAGAAAGTTTTGGGTACGCAGATAGATTGGTTATGTATGTAATTTTAGTAAAACAAGTGAAAGTTTTAAGCGGATAAAAGATCGCTTTAATTTTTAATGAATTTTTTTCCAACGTATTTTGCGGTTTTATGCATATAACAGGTGTAATTTATAAAATATAGTATTTATTTTTTGTTTTATTATTTTGTTTGCAAACGGTCTTGCGCATTTTATTCTACAAGAAATTCGCTCTTATGTATATGGTAAAAAGTACAAGCCGTCCGCAACAAAAAATCATTCAAAATCTACGCGATTTTTTAGCCGCTTAAAACTTGCGCTTGCTTTTCTACCGATCTATCATTCTAAAAACTCAGATTAAAAAGTTCAAAATTTAGACGAAAATTTGTTGAATTTTTCTAAGTTTTGTATAAAGTTTGACTTATGTGGTTTTGATTAAAGCATGAAGTATTTTTATACAAAAAAATAACGACACAATTTTAACCGGGCGCAGTATTTGTTTATTTGCATAAGTGCATACATATAAATGCATCTACATAGGTATGTACATATGTATATGTATTTACAAACATTTTTATGCGCTTGCATTTTAGAGTGTTTAAAATTTTTTCAATGAAGAATTTACTAATTGTTGACCAAATTTATATTAGTTAATTGGAATTTTTATGAAAATAACGTTTTCCCAAAATTTATTGTAATAATTAATTAATGTTTTCGATTTAATTCAATGAAAGGGGCAAAAGTAATTTTTGTTGATAGATATAAACGTGCACAAAAATAACATTTCACAATTGCTAATTTTTTCAAATTCTGTTATTTTGTGCCGCTCTGCGCTCACGCTGTTAAAAAATGGTGAACTTCTAGAGCTATCGATGTTAAAAATTTAACGTGGTGAACTTCTAGAGCATTTCTGATCTATTACAAAATACCAACGAGTAGCATGTTGCTGCTTCTCTGTATTAAATGTTCTCTGTCTCTGGTGGAGAAGAAATAGGAAAACTATCGGAATTTTTGATAACATGAAGGTTCTTTGATTGGCGGTGGCCATATAGAGTGTTAACTTTCTCCCACATAACTTTTACGGGAGTTTTATAGTTAATATCTCTGGTGAAGTCAATGAAACTATTTCTTTTAGAAAGTTTTGCTTCTCTTTTAAATAGAGCATTTATACGTTTGTATATGTTTTCTTGGAAGGGTTAAGTTTAACATTTTTCCACATCTCAACCTTTTCACACCTGAGGGAGGATAATTTTTCGTTCCACCAATATGTTTTGTGGTAATCAGGGGTTGTATTGGATATTGGAATGGATGAGTTGGCGCTTTGACAAATTTTCCTTTGTAGGATTGCTGCAGATTTGTTAACATTACATTCGACGGAAAGGTTGGGTAAATGTTGTTCTATAGCTTTTTGTTAGGCTGACCAATTTGGCGAATTAAATTTGTATCTAATAGCGAGATGATTCTGGAAGGAGTGGGATAGTGATCGGAAGATGGTCGCTTCCATGCAGATCGTCGGATGCCATCCATGAGGAGGCAATTTTTAGAGATGGGCTGCAGATGCTCAGATCTATGTGGGTTAGGGTTTGTCGGGTTGACAGGTGGGTGGGGGATTTGTCATTCAAAAGTATAAAGTTCGTATTTTTAATACATTTTGTTATAACTCTTCCTAGTCGGTTGAAGCAGGGAGATCTCCAAAGAGGACTCCAGGCGTTGAAGTCACCTAAAAGTAAAATTGGTTCAGTGAAGTTGCTGATGAGCTGGTGAAGATCATGCTCAGAGATAATGTATGTAGGAGAGATGTAAGTGCTTATTATAGAGAAGGTTGCATGAGATTTGATTTTAACGGCTATGGCTAAAATGCTACTATTAGTGTTGATCAAATTGTGTTCAAGGGAATAATAATAAGGAAACTCTGGAGTCAATGTCGTTTCTTGGAAATAAGTTATAATTTTTGGATATTAAGTTTTAGGGTGGATCAGAAAAAATGGGGGTTTCTTGAAGAGCAATAATTTTGTAGTTATTAGCTTTTAATAGAAGAGTTAGCCCATTGTAATTATTGCGGTAGCCATTAAGATTCCATTGGAAAACCTTAAGTACCATATTTGATAATGAGGATGAGTGAAAAGATTTCTCAACTATCGAAAGATGAGTCTTTCGAAGGTAAGAAAACTTATGTTTCCATTGAGTGGTGATTTTCGGAGCTTAGGTGTTCGCACGATGTGGAATCAAGTGAAGTTAATTGAGTTGTTAAAGAAATATCATTTGTTCTATATTGGGAGATTGATTGAGTTAGTATCTGGCTTAGTAAATTTGTTGGTATATTTGCGAGAGATGGAATATTGTCTGGTAGAGTATGATCGTTAGACTGCTTTTACACAGTTCAAGTATTGAATTCAATTCTGCTCGCATGTGGAAGAGAGGGGGTGAGAAGAAAAGGGACGAGTACACATGCGTCTGTACCGTCAAGTCGTTTCAACTTTCTTGCTTTGCTTTTGGCATTTTCGTTGCTTCCCATTTAAAGAACCAAAAACTTGAATTCAACAGAATTGAAACGTGTAAAAGCAAATAGAAAACACAAAAGAGAATGAGCAAGAATTGCTTTCAAGTACTTGAATCATGTAAATCGGGTGTTAGAGTGATTAGTCGTTGCACTAGTTGGGATGAATGAAGAGTTTTCAAGTGGAGAGAGGGCAGAGTTACATATTGGGTTTCTGTGTTTTTGTTTCTGTGGAGTGGATTGGTTGTGAAAAACCGGTTTTTGGAGAGTGAGATGAAATTTCAGACATGCCTGAATTGATGGTATTGTTAGTGGTTTGTTGTGTTTTTTTTTTGTTCAGCTGGTTTGTATTTCTTCTTTTGGGTGTCTTCTTCTAAATTCTGAAGTGGTCTGTTGAGTTCTAGTTGTCTTTTATTAATTACCTTCGTTGCTTCGCGGAAATAGCATTTGTTAAGTGCTTTATACGCAATGATTTCTTTCCTCTTCTAAAAGGTCGGACAGTTTTTATTGTCAGATCGGTGTGATTTTTTGCAGTTTATTCGTTCTACCTTTTTACATGGAATGGGTTCATGAGTATCTGTAGCGCCAACGTTACATTTTGGGTCGGATTTGCAGTGTTTTGCCGTGTGGCCGATTATAAAGCAGTTTTTACATTGCATTGGGGAAGGAATATACGGTTCCACCTTCACCTTTACTTATGCGACTTTTACTTCTTCTTGGCAGTTCATAGCTATTAAATGAAATTATATGTAAGGGGGTGTCAACAAATTTTCCGTCTCTTATTTTTGCGATCTTTTTGGATTCGGTTGCGCCTTGTTCCCTTAATCCATCTACAATTTCGGTTTCGCTAAGGTTTGTTGGAAAACTGGAGTAGGTAACACCTTTCACGGTGCTAAGTGTTGGATGTAGGCTAACTGATATGTCGCAAAGATTGGACAGTTTGAAAGCTTTAAGGAATTTCGTTGATTGTTGATTATTTTTTGTTAGTATAAGCAGGTCACCGTCTCTGGTGAAGGAGATTGAGAGAGGTTGTTCTGATGTTATAGATACGAGTACTTTGTGGATAAGGAAGATGCTGAACGTTTTGATTGGAATGTTTGATTTATTTTTTATAACAAGGAATTTGGGACAAGCTACAGATTTAGAGTTTTAAATGGAAATAGTTTTTTTTTTAATTGGGGGAAATCGCGAGGGTTGTTTAGGTTGAGATTTCTACGTTTCGCAGGAGGTAGCTCACCTAATATTGCAAAATAATTTTGGTCGCCACCTCCCGTCGGAGGCCATCCTGGATTTCTTTTTTTAAACACAACTCCACTCACTATATAAATGTAAATCTTATTACCAGTAAGAACTAGTTTGAAACGGACTGAGAGATTAACACGCACGGTGACACTACAGTAGTAGTAATGAAAATCTCAAAAAGGCACAGTAAGCACGTCTGAACTGTTCGGTAGTCGATTACTCACTGAGAACATTGATTAGAAGGGGACCATAAATATAGCCATCATCCTTACTTTCTATGATCTTTGGTTATATTTTATTCTGTGAAACAGGTACTCTCCGTATATTTTAGTCTATATCACTCTTGGCTGATTTTTTTTAAAGGTTTTTATAATTATTTGTTAAGTTGTGTTTTTTCATGAAAAGGTTTTAACTTGAATTTAGTGAAATTATAAAAAATAATACTAATTCCCTCAACAAATTCATGGATATGAAAAGTATAAGCTGTAGATACAGTGGCAAAAAAAAATAAATATTTAATGTTTATTATTTTTTATGAAAGTGTAGCTCGTTATTTATCAAAGACCATGCAAAGGTCGTCGAAGGTTGTACAAAGCGTTCGACAAAGTTTCATCAAAATGATGAGTTTTTTAATTAGATTTTGCGATATAGATTTTCAAGTTTGTTCCTCTTTGTTTTCTTTTAAATAAAACTGTGTTAAAAAGATGTCATGTCTTTTTGTTCTAAAAACAAAATTGTATGTTCGGATTCGGTGCATTACAAATGTCCCGATTTTTGTCCACAGAAATCTGGCCACCGTATGTATGAGCCGAACAACAAATACTATATCACTAACCATTAGTTATTGATTTGGTAAACTGATATACATATTAGGTTAAAGGAACCCTCCCCCAACATCGCCTTCGAATTTCATCAAAAAAAGCTGGTACTTTTTTTGAGAAAAGGCAAATAGTGCATTATATCGAAGTAAACCCATAAAAACTAAAAAAATTTAAATTTAGGAATAATCCTCTTTATTATTAAGCTTGCGATCTGTTTATATTTTCTAATTCTAGAACATATCGGAATATCATACCTCAGTGCCGGTGACAATGAAATGTTTGTTGGGTGTTGACAAAACGGAGATTCGTGCCGCCATACAATTTTTGATCAACAGGACAAAGTTAAGCAACTGTCCTAATGAAATGCTAATTACTTTGGGTTTAAAGGAAATTAATAGCCATGCTCTCTATCAGATAGCAGACATTCTTGAAAAGCAGCTCTAGTGGCGTTCGGTGGTACAGTGAAATAACTCACAAATGAATTAAGTCCCAATGAAATAACACCCAATGAAATAAGTTCCAATAAAAATTAAACCACACCTAACTCAAAGAAATGAAATAACTCCAAAAGAAGAAATTAAATAAGTCCCAATATTTGGGAGTTATTTCATACCGAAACAACAAGTCCCAAAAAAAATTAAATAACTGTCAAATTTTCAAATGCTATTTATTTAGTATATGTAAATTTATACATAAGCAAACACGTAAATAATAAGTTATAAATTTATGTATATTATACATAATAAGATGTAAAAAAAAATAAACAAATATATGAAATATGCATTTACAAAAAACCTGCATCGTGTCGTTAACTTTCTCACGACAAATAGGGCAATTAAAGTTTTCAAGTCCTTCGGCACTATTTACACTTGCAGTTTCAGAACACAAGCATTGCATGTTTTTAGATGTTTGCAAGATCAGCATATTTGAGAGCGCGGTATTTCTGATGGCTTCGACGCAATATGTATCTTCTTCCTCCTCCTCTTCATCTTCTTCAAGGTACGAGTGATCTTCAAAAATATCTTCTTCTGGCCCCATTTCATTAACAATACTGTTTTTTGGAAACACCAATCGATTTATGAATGCAGTAGCTGTTATGGTTCCAGAACGTAGCTCTTTGTTGTCTTTTGCAATCAGTTCTGCTTTTTCTACAAATTTCCTTTTTTTTTGGCCAAAGCTCTACCACTATTACCCAGCAATTCGAAATCTCGGAACTTGTAAACTCCTCTGTTTGTAAAATTTTGACAAATTTAAAACAGTTTCCCTGTTTGGGTATCATTGTGGCCAGCGCTCCATTATATCCTTCGATGGCAGATGTCGTTCGTGTCGGTGTTCCAAAAACTGATATTCCATCTGGTCCAATATTATATTATATTGATATTATTAAAAAAACAAAAAAAAAAAAACAATGACAAATTTTACGTAAGACTTATACTAGTTTTCTTTAGAAGTACTATTCTTATACTAGTTTTCTTTAGAAGTGCTTACCTTCGTTAACCATTGCTTTTCGATGTATTTCAAAAAGTTCGTATAATGGAAATGACGCTCGAGGTCTCCTATATCGTCCTTACTTTTCATTAATTTATATGTCATTTGATGCAGTATGAACTATATTTCATAGGTGTTAAATTGCATTACCATTAGCACGCCCTAGTATAAGGGGCCTCCCCGTGGTGACACCTGGTAACGCCCTGGCGGCTAATTCGAGCGGCGACCCCTCCTAAATCCCTACACCTGTGCTTCCCTTTCGGACCAAATTCCTTGCCAGTTCTCCCCTCCCTTCTATTTGCAGGGCCGGATCAAGGTGTCCTAAGATCAGCCTGCCTGGGGGCCCTTCACCAAGCCCAGTCGCGAACGGAGTGCTCCTGATACCGGGCGACCTTCGGACCCAAGGCTAGTTGGCTCCGGGTACAGCGGATCTCTGCCCAGGCGGACGTTCCCCTTCAACTCCAGTACGGGAGTCCGACGCTCCCAAACAAAGCCCGAAAGGAGTCACAAACTACGCACCAAGCAAAGCCACAGTACCACCGGGCCTAGCCAAAAGTAGCCCTATGCGGAAGCAAATATCAGGTGCATCCGCACCCACCAGCAGTAAGACTAAAGCACCCCCTGGTCCGAGAAGTCCAAAGGCCAATGCTACGCCCAAAAGTAGAACTGGACGGGAGGCCTGCACTGCAAGCACCGGAAATCCTGGGCCTTCCTGTAGTGGGCCTGCCACTCAGCGCACAGCGTCTGGCCAGCCCACTGGGGGTGGACCCAGGAACATGGTGACCTGCAATAGGGCTAAGGACTTCGTCCGAACTGTCCCTGCGAAGGCCATCCACCGGACCGGAAGGTTATTTGCGTCATGGACGAAAGTAAAGAAAGAGGCAGGATCCCGAGGAACCAATGGAGGTGGGTCGAAGCCGCTTTGGCGAAAGTTTCCTTGCAGGTTAAGAGGGAGAACCCTGGACCACCTCCGTCATGCACGAATGCTGGCTGGTTCCAGGGGAACGTAAAACTCATAGCCTGTGATGTAGCAGATTGGTAGAGCTATACAAAGCTGCGATCATCAGAGTAGGTGAGGTGTATCCGGGGCCCGGGTGAAGTGTATCGCGTCCCAGAGCGAGAGCCTGGGTACCCGTTACGTCGTCGGAACCTTCGGATATTCTAGAAATGCTGCAAGAATTTAATCCCAGCATCCCTACACACAGCTGGAGGGTTGTTAACGCGGAGCCAACTGAGCGAGCAAAAATGCGGATAGTCCTGCTCCTAAACGACGAGAGTCTGGAGGCACTCGCAAAAAGCGACTATAGGGTGTGCTATGACTTCGGAAGACTACGTGTGGGGAGACAGACGAGCCACCCAGCGACAATGAAATTGAATTTGACGACCAAGCAACTGAGGAACTGAGCGGGTACGCCTCATCCAGCTCCGAAGTAGGTGAAGCCTTATGGAGGCTGTATGCTGAGCGTGAGTTTCTCAGCGGCGACGAAGCCAACGTGGCCGTGGTGGAAAGGCGAAATTCGCTTGATGAAGGTACTACAGACCAATACCCATCACAGGAAAGCAGCATCTGCTGCACTCCTACTTCAGCTGTCTTCAGGTGAAGTTGATATCGCTTTGGTACAAGAGCCATGGATCACTGGTAATAGGATCTGTGATTCAGTGTTCAGGGTAAGGGAAAACCTCGCACCTGCATTTTAATCAAAACTAATATAAACTATTTTATCCTACCGCAATTTAGCACTGAAGATATCACCACGGTCAGCCTAGAATAGGGCGTAGGAAGTACAGGCTGGCCTCTTTTCACCTGACACACGACGATCAGGGCCCTTTCCCACTCACAGCACTAATGGAGTTGGTGAAGAACACAAACCCGATGGACACGATGCTACTGCTGGGAGACGCAAATGCCCATCATTACCAATGGGACGAGGTGAGTCACTTTATAAATATTTGCTAAGCACAAATCTGTCTATTTGCAACAATGGAAGTGACCCTACCTTTCCCACAACCAATCGCAGGGAGGTTCTTGACATCACCCTCGTCAGTGAAACTTACTGTAATCAGATCTCTGCGTGGAAGGTCCCGAAAGAACACTCTTTCTCAGACCACAGGTTCATAGAATTAAGCAACTTAGACTCGCCCCCGTCTCTAAAGAGATACGAAATGTCCAGAAAATTAATTGGGGGTATTACAAAAAACTTGTATATAAGAACCTACCTTTTGAACCATTCAATATACCAGAAAGTAGGGAGGAACTTGATCTACTAGTTAGCTTTTTTGCTGAGAGTTGCGAGACAGCACTTATCAAGGCATGACCCAAGAGGAAAACTAGGGAGGCGTACAACCCTCTGTGGTGGTCCTCCGATCTAAATAAACTTCGCATAGAATGTAGGAAAGCATTCAATGCTGCTAAGCACGACGCCCTAGAGTCACCTTGGGCACAATATAAATTGCCACTTAACATATACAAGAAAACCATTATTAAAGTAACACGCACCTCGTGGAGTGATTTTTGTAGTGGGATAGAGGCTACATCCGAAGCCTCTAGACTCCGTAAGGTACTCGCAAAATCACCTACAGCAGCTAGCTATATTCAAAAGGATGATGGGTCCTGGACCGACTCAATTTCCGAAACCATTAAATTACTCTTAGATAATCACTTCCCAGAAAGCAACGATCACACGTTATATGATCCAGAATCAGCAGTGGGTGTAGCACCACAGCTCATCAACGAAATTATAAGCGACAGGAAAATCTGTTGGACCATATCTAACTTCAAGCCCTATAAAACGCCAGGGCCGGCTGTAATATATCCGGCCCAGCTACAACACACCATGGAACGTACAAGACCATGGCTAAAGACCATCTTTACCAACTGCATAAAAGTCGGCTACATTCCCGGAGCCTGGACAGAAGTCAAGGTAGTCTTCACACCGAAAGCGGGCAGAGCCTCTCATGCTAAACCTGGCGATTTTAGGCCTATCACCCTTTCATCCTTTCTACTTAAGACTCTGGAAAGAATTCTGGAGACTTACATAAGACAATCGATTAACCCTACTCTGTTATCTAACGCGCAACATGCCTACAGCAAGGGCAAATCCACGGAGACTGCCCTCAACTCGCTAGTCTCACAAAATTGAGCAATCACTAGAACCGGCTCTTACACCCCCCAAACTCGATGGCTCAAGCCTGGAATTTAAGCGTACTGCCAAATATCTTGGAGGAATTCTTGACAGCAAACTGCTCTGGAATGACAACACAATGGAACGTATCAACGCTCTTCACATGTAAAAAGGCGATCGGTGTATCGTGGGGCTTCTCACCTAAGATAGTTCACTGCATCTACACTGCTATTGTTCGCCCGATTCTGCTTTACGGAGCCCTAGTATGGTGGCCTACACTTGATAAGACAACGGCGCTCAGGCAACTTCAAAAGGTACAAAGGAGTGCGGAGCTTTGTATAAGTGGAGCTGTTTGTTCCTCCCCGACTGAAGCTCTTAACGCGATTCTACATCTGCTCCGCTTGATGTACTAGCTCGGGAAATAGCCACTATTGCAGCCTTAATACTTAGAGAGGCAGGCTTCTGGACTAATGGTCCATCAGGCCATTCGATAATCCTAGGGACAAGGGCGCCCATACCGATACCTGCAAGTAATGACTACTGCATACCATCAAACACCTTCAAAAAAAACTATATAATTACCATACCAACTCGAAAGGACTGGGATACTAGGCCTCACCATATACGCAACGCTATAAACATTTACACTGATGGCTCCAAACTCGACGGAAGGTCAGGGGAGGAGTCTTCTCCCCGGAGCTGGAACTGGAAACATATTTTCGCCTTCCCTACCACTGCAGTGTATACCAGCCGGAGGTGCTGGCTATTCAGGAGGCCACTCGGCACCTAGTAACAATACCCAAGGAGAAAAAAACAGGTATTTATCTTCTCTGACAGTCAAGCAGCCTTGACAGCTCTAGACACATGCGTAGACAACACAAAGTCCCTAACTGAATGCCGCAGATTCCTAAACGGGATGGCCCAGCATTATAGAATACAACTCATATGGGTGCCTGGACACCGAGATATTGAGGGCAACTGCAAAGCTGACGAACTGGCGAGGAATGGTACGACCACCCCTATCCTTCCGGGGAAGGACACGGTAGGTATACCAATGGCCACTTTCAAACTACATGCAAGGAATAGCACCGTACAAGCAGCGAACGAACGCTGGAGGAACCTCTCCTTCTGTGGAACGGCTAGGCTTACATGGCCTTCCTATGACAAAAAAACGCACGTCTGCACTCTCAGGGTTAAAACGGACCGAGGCATCTATTCTCACGGGAATTCTTACAGGTCACTGTCTAATCGGTACACATGCCTAGAGATTGGGAAAGAAAGCGCCAGACTACTATCGCAGCTGCAGATGCGAAGAAGAGGAAGAGAGTGTACAGCAGCTTGTATGCGAGTGTCCCGCACTCAACAGAAGACGGCTAAAGACGTTCGGTAAGCCCTCTACAAGGCGGAGTAAGCGCCGCAACATCATAGGGGATATACGTTGCATATGGTATCACAATGGGCCTTTCCTTGGCCTAAGAGTAAGGGGGAGTCACTCTCTCTAGCCATCTCAGCCTAATCTAGTGTATGTATGTTTGTTTGTACCTTAATTTATATGTATGAATTCATTTTGCATTTCAGCTCTGCCGCTACCGAAGTAAGAATATATGAATGAAGCAAACGTGCTTCGTGCACCCACATGCATTCGTACATACATATGTTTGTATGGATATACATTTGTATGATGAAACAAACGCGCTTCGTTGATATACTGATCAGTAATGCCAACCGGGGGAGAATGCCCCGATTTTGGTGGAATTTGAACTTCTCGGGGGAATCGGGGAATAACTTTAACTCATTCTTTGAACTCATTCTCTGGTTTAATTTATGGAAGAAAAAGAACTTGTCCGAAAAAGATTTGAAGGGTGTTGAGGTTGTATATCTATTTAAAGAAGCAAATGAATTGCTATCAGCAATAAATGAGTGT